TTATTAGTGGCAAATTAGGGAATAAACCAAGTTTATTGGATTTCACCCACTTTCCAGATTTCAACAAAACTTGGCCAATTTATGTAATTCCACAACTTTTGAGGTTGATTTTTTTTTATAAAAAAGATCTACTTATTTATATATTTATTATCACTGACAGCACTACCGTGTCAAAGCAGAATGTGCACTGTAACATCAAAACAGCATTTTGAGAAAAAGCTACGAAAAGGATTTCTCGCTTATTTATCATTTTTGAAGTTAATAACATAAAACTATATACGAGTATTAAAATACATATTTTCGTGCATTAGATATTAAAGAATTCTATCAAACCAATGAAATATTATTTTACAAAATAAGTTGTTTCTATCGAAAATCTATTTTTTTGGACTTACAGAGTTTTGATTTGACGCGATAAATCACGTCAAAATTCTTGTATTAAAAGAAAGTACGGCTATGACCCTAGTAGGATAATTGCCATTCATCGAGTATATAACCATAAATAGAGACGAAATGTCATTTAAATGTTTTGAAATCTATTCTGCCAAATCATTACGGTGACAACTGCGCCCGATTGGCCAGCCCGAATTCGAAACAATTGACGGGTGTCGTCAATGAATATTTACGTAATTCCACACATATTTGCTCTGACCGGCCAGGCGCGTACGGCCATCAGTAACGACACTGATATGTACTTGTATCACCTCATACATGCATGTCGGTGTCCACTGTATTGTCTTAATATATGTAGGTAACATCTTATATATTGTATGTGTAACGTCTACAAATATGTGTGAGAGTAAATCATTGTATTTTGTTAATTCGTTGTTGGTACTTCTCTATGGAGAAGCTGTATGTGGCAATTACATAAAAACATTTGAAAACCGTGCTGTAATGCCTGCAGTTGGTTTTTCGAGATCCAAATAGTGAAACGGGGTATCCCGTACTATTAAATCTAATATTTAATTTTAAGGTAAACGCCGTTACTGTTCATGAACGGGTTAAGTACTTTAGAAAAGTAAAATAGAAAATATGACGTTTCGATTTTAAACAATTTAATATTTCATTTTCAGAACAGTCATCCAAGAATTAATTGTTAATCACAAGGGGTCCCTAGATTGTTCCTAATGCCTTGCAGTAGGTTACGGCACCGAGGTTTTAAGCATTGTCAAGGACTTGGGCGTGGTCTACCCTGCAAGCGCTGTATGCTTGGCAACATGACAATACCAGAACTTCTCAACCACTCAGACTGGTGTCGAGCAACGCAACCGTATCACAATAATTGTAGAGCGCAAAGATCAAAAAACTGTGAAATATACCGACGTGAATGTATTAGATCATTTAGTGACGATGACCCTGAACGTTTTGAAACACCAAACGATGCTCATGACGATGATTATGAATGTGCCGAAGTTGAAAATGTTTTTGTCCGAGAGTGCGCTTATCCACCACCATGTAAGTCACCATCACCACCACCGTGTCAAACGCCACCACCACACGAGAGCCAGACGCCATTGCCGACCGAGAAGCCGCCACCCTGCAAAACGTCACCCGTCGCGGACTCTACCTATCCAAGCACTATTATCCAATGCGATGATTCTTACATAGAAATTCCTTGTCCTAATTTTAATCCAGCAGATCAGTACAATTCTGACGGCGTGTGTAAGAAGCCTTCACTATGCCCAGCCCCATCACTTTGCAAAGCATTATCTTCATCCCAAATCCCGTTCCCGTGCGCGACTATGTCATCTTTGGAGTGTCAATCTGTCGTCATTTGCGATCCAGATGAAAATAAAATCGGTCGTCGTGTCTCATTTGGCAGTGTCTCAGAGCTACAAATTCCCCCTTGTCAGCAGGAACGTCGTCGTGTAGTTGAACCAGTCAGTATAATAGAAATATCACCAAATGCCGTAGAGAGCACTGAAATATATCCAAAACAAAGTTTTGCAACGCAGAATGATGTTAGTCCTAACTATTCTGTAGAATCGCAAAGTGATCTTAGTGTCTGTAAAAAGGGGAGTACAGTTTCTATGGAAATGCATGCGCTAACTTCTTCTGAAAGCAGTATAACTTGTGGTGCTAAAGATTGTCCAAAAAGTGCAACAGCAAAAAGCAAACACTGTACACATAGCAAAGTTAAACAGGAAAAAGAAAAGAAAGCGATAAAAAGTTGTGGTGCGAAAGACTGTCCTAAAAGTACATCACCAATCAACAGTTTCCCTTGTGTATCGCCCTCGCCTTCAAAGACAAAATTTGAATGTCCGAAACACAAAAAAAAGGAAACAAACGAGAGTCCATCGGATCTCACCCAATCCCCCCCGCTAACGACATCAGCATCAAATGAAATGAGATCTCAAAGTCTTTCTTCAAACTCTGATGTAACGTGTTCTCACAAAAATGAAAAAGAATCTCAAAGCAAATGCAATGTACATAAGAAGTCTAATAAAAGAAGTTGGTTCCGTAAATGCAAAGCTAAAACACCACGAAAGAAACAACAAAATCAAAAGGAAAATAAATCAACTCATGGAGAACATTGTCAGTGTCATTTCATTCCTGAAGAACAGGGCATGCAACATGTTGACTTTACCTTGAGCGAGCAAGAGAAACCTAGAGTAATTGCTCCGAATAGGCAACCCGTACACGGCGAATCCGAAATCAACGCTCAAGATCCCGCATGTTCAGATAAACAATTCGTGCAAGGTTATATTCCACAGGGACAAAATATGTACAGCCAATTGCCACAGGCTGACCGAATTCCACATGGCCAATTGTTCACGTATGAACAACCACCTGGACGTACATTGCTAGATCTATCTACTTCAAAAATAGAAACCCCGCGCGGTCAATTAGCTTCAAGTACGCAAATTGGTCCAGAAGTAACGTCTCAAGCCGTACAAACACCCACGAGTCACTTTGGTCCGCGAGGACAGATACCGCAAAGTCAGTTGGCTTCAGGAATTCAAACACACCCAGGCATGTTCTCTCAAAGTCCAGAGCTTCCCTTAAGTAGTTTTTTTGCTCCAAGAGAACAAATGCCACAAAGCCAATTTATTTCGAAAATGCAAACTCCGCCAAGTCTATTCTCGCAAGCCGTCGAAACACCTCGACGTCAATTTTATTCACAAGATCAATCTCAAACACAACAAAATCTGCAAGGTCAATTACTTTCAGGAGGGCAATTTCCGCAAAACCAATTTACTTCGGGTGGACAAATTCCACAAGGCCAATTTGCTCCAAGTGGGCAAACTCCACAAGTCGAATTTCCAGGCGGATATTATCCGCGAAATCAATACACTCCAGATGAACAAAATCTGCTAGGCCAATTTAATCCGGGACAAATTGCACGACGTCAATTTGTTTCAGGAGAACAATATCCAAGAAGTCAATTTGCACAAATTCCACATAGCGAATTTGTTTCACAAGAACATATGCCACTAAGTAATTTTATGCCAGGCGGACAAAATGGCCAGTTTACTTTAGGACAAAGACCACAAAGCGAATTTGTTGCAGCGGGACATATTCCGCAAAGACATGTCATTCCAGGTGGTCGAAATCTGCCAAACCGGTTTGTTTCTAAACAAATTCCACAAAGTCAATTTGCTTCTGCGGAGCAATTTAATCCATTTGAACAAGTTCAACAAGGCGGATTTGTTCCTGGAGTAATCCAAAACCAATACATTCCAAATGATCAAACTCTGTCAAGTCATTTTGTATTAGACAGAAAATTTGGCGAAGCTTTTACGAAAGAACAAATTGTGCCCAGCCAATTTACGGCAGGAGGACAAAATACACAATGTCACTGTCAACTTGGAGAAATTTTGAAAAGCCAATTTGGAGTAATAGCTCCACAAAATCAATTTACTACTAGACCTTTTCATTCTGGCGGCGGTTCTTCACAATATTCTCCAGACAATTTCCCCCCAGGAAAACTTCTACCCAGGAAGCCCGTACATCTACAAAAAGAAGCACAGTACTATCCAGGAGAACCAGGGCAATTTGCTCCAAACGGTTCAATACCGCAGACTCAATCAGTTTCAGGTCAAATATCTTCAGAGCAAATGCCTTCAGGAGGTCAAATGGTTTCAAGTGAATTAGTTTCAGGACGAGCAATTCCGACAAGGATATCGTTATTGAGAGGTCAGGTTCCATCTAACCAATGTACCTCAACAGAATTGCCTCAAGATCAAATTGGCCCACAAGGTTCAAACAGGCAAGAAGAAGCTTCCCAAGCGAGAGTACCGCTAGATCAATATGTTCTAGGAAGCCTAGATAAAGCTGACCATAGTCTTCCAAGAGATCAAAATGAGTATGGAATGATACATAACCCTCAAGTATCAGACCAAACTCCTCGGGCAGAAATGCCCCACCAGTTTCAAGAACAATTTCAGAAGCATTCACGGGAACAGTCGGTTTCAGGAACTCAAAGGCCACACACGCAAGTGCCTTCAGGAGGTCAAATGTTCCCAAGTCAATTGGGTTCAGGCAGTGCAAATCCGACAAGAACATCTTTCCCGGGAGGTCAGGTTCCATCTAAACAATATACCCCATCAGAATTGCCACAAGATCAAATTGGACCACATGGTTCAAACAGGCAAGAAGAAGCTTCCCAGGCGAGAGTACCGCTAGATCAATATGTTCTAGGAAGCCTAGATAAAGCTGACCATGGTGTTCCAAGAGATCAAAATTGGTATGGAATGATACATAACCCTCAAGTATCAGGCCAAACTCCTCCGGCAGAAATGCCCCAACAGTTTCAAGAACAATTTCAGAAGCATTCAAAGGAACAGTCGGTTTCAGGAACTCAAAGGCCATACACGCAATTGCCTTCAGGAGGTCAAATGTTCCCAAACCAATTGGATTCAGGCAATCCAATTCCGACAAGAACATCTTTTTCGGGAGGTCAGGTTCCATCTAAACAGTATAACCCAACAGAATTGCCACAAGATCAAATTGGTCCACAAGGTTCAAACAGGCAAGAAGAAGCTTCCCAAGCGAGAGTACCACTAGATCAATATGTTTTTGGAAGCCTAGATAAAGTTGACCATGGTGTTCCAAGAGATCAAAATGAGTATGGAATGATACTTAATCCTCACGTATCAGGGCAAACTCCTCCGGCAGAAATGCCCCAACAATTTCAAGAACAATTTCAGAAGCATTCAAGGGAACAGTCCGTTTCAGGAGCTCAAAGACCACCCACGCAAGTGCCGTCAGGAGATCAAATGTTCCTACGCCAATCGGCTTCAGGCAGTCCAATTCCGACAAAAACATCGTTTTCGGGAGGCCAAATTCCTTTTAATCAATATACACCAGCAGAATTGCCACAAGATCAAATTAGCGCCGAAGTTTTAAACAGGCAACAGTTAAGTTCCCAAATCGGAACACCACCAGATCAATTTGACCTAAAGAATGTAGACAACGCTAACCAAGGTGCCCCAAGAGATCAAAACTGGCATGGAATAATATGTCCACCTGTAATATGCGGTTCTAAAGGAAAAGTTACCACCAATATTTCACCTTGTAGTAGTTCAAAAACCTTATGCAATTGTATCAAGATTTCATGCAATTGTTTAACCCGGGAATGCAGAGGCAAATTCAAGTGTACTTGTTGTTATAATAATAATGAAGCTCCAAAATATTGTCAACATGCGTGTGTTCAGTGTACTGAAGGACGTAGAATTTCACCAACGAAATCGTTTTCAGGATATCAAAACCCATCCAACCCCAATTCCTCAGCACGAACCCCATCAGGTCTATTTGGATCAGAAGGTTCAGGCAGAAACGATCAAGGTATCGAGTCAGGAAAGCCGTCTGATCAAAGTGGGCTAGAATACCTCGACAAGAAAGAGACATGCAGAATATTTATACCTTGTAGAAATGCTGACGGCAATTTATGCAAATGTACAGATATAACATGCAGCTGTCCAATTTCGGATAAAAGCGATAAAAATACTAGTAAACAAACATGGTGTCTTCAAAATGTTATTATAAACACCAGCTTACACAAATTTCAGCATCCAAATACTGCACCAGTAGCAAATACACCTGAAGTGAATAATAATCTAAGTGTTATCCCAAAGAGAAACGCGTATTGCGAATGCCATTATCCCCCAATGTTCCGTCATTTTCAATGCACCGGTAATTCATGTGGAATTTGCAAGTGTCGCGAGGCACAGCATGAATAAAATCCATGAGATTCATTTTTTGTTTTTAATATATCCCTTAAAACACTTAAAAGTGACTGTTGAGACCTTGGTGGCATTAGGTAGGGCGATTTTTGCTGTTCGACGACGTCATCGCCAAGTTTTAAAGCCTGTCGATCTTTATTATTTTAAAATAATTTTAGTGCATTCAAACACAAATACATGTTGTTGTGCGGCGCAGTGAGCACCATGGTGCATCACGCCGTACGGTTTATCGGTGGAATCGTTGGAGGCGAAGTGTCAACCAGAGTTCGAATTCTAATTGAAATATATTACACTTGAAATCGTCACAACATCGAGTATATACTCGATGCATCACAAATCACAATGATTAAAACTTCACTACTCATTCGTAATCGAACACGATCGAACGAGTAATAAGAAGCTCTACGACTTGCTATTTTTTACAAAGTAAATTAGTTACGATACTTATTTGAAATACTACATCTAAACCTGAAAGAGTAATGCCGGGTTCACGAGTTTTTCACTTGCGTTTTTCACTTGCTTGTGTTGGCTACACGGCGTAGAAATCTGCCTTCCACTCAAAGGCGTTTCTCGAGTCTCTCGCTTTGCGTTAACGGAGAGACTTGCGCGCATGCGCGACAACTTGCCTTTGTTTGGGTTGTCGACACTCTCGAACCAGCTGCTGCTCTGAAATTGGGGCTCTGGTGGTGTCCTCCACAAACGCTCCTTGTCGCTTGTGTGGAAATATCAAGCTTGCTAGATATCAAACTAACCCAACGCAAAGAAATCCTACGCAAAGACTACTACTAGATTTTGCGTATGCGCGAAGCGAGTCACGCAAGCAAGCGAAAAAAGCGTTTTTCCACTAGCGAGTGGAAGACTCGTGAGCCCGGCATTAAACGGTCACTACCATCATCTAAGTAAGTACGCAGAAGCTGTATAATAAATAAGCTTTAACAAAGTCTTTGTTTAACTATAGTTTTAAACTCGTAAATGGCAAAGTTTGCATAAGCGTACATTGCCCTTTATGTGTTTGTGAGTTTGTGTTTGATCATCGATCATTCAATTTATTACTCCTCTGCGTTAACTTATTAATTTGAAATAATTAGTAATTTAGTTTTTTGAGACTTGAAGGTTCGAGCGCAACGATAGAAGGAATTTTTCTTTGTGTTCGATCTTTGTATTAATAATTACAACAAAGTAGTGGAGTAATTTTCACAAAAAATAAATTAATCTCTATATATAATAAGTAAAAATGTATAATAAAAAAAAATACAAAAATTGTACACGTTTCAGTCGGACGTTACACATCATATTATTTTTATATTACCAGGAGACGATTAAATTATGAGGCATGGTCATAATATACGTATGCACATATGTGTGTTCAGATGTGTACATATAATCTCTAATTTCATTTCTACTTTATGATCATGCCTCATAATATAATTCCAACAAAAAAACATTCATTAAAATCGGTTCACAAATGTTGGAGTTATCGCGTAACATACATACAAAAAACAAGTCCAATTGAGAATCTCCTCCTTTTTTTAGAATCGGTTAAAAAATATAAATTTGACATGGAAAATTATATTATATATTGTAAACATTGAGCTAACAATGCTTCAATCCTATTGCACGGCGCGTGCATCCCGCGATATACAACGCGAGTTCACCGCGACATTAAAAGTCAGGCCACACAGACGCAGTATAGCGGGAAAAGCGGACCGGGGCGGACTTGCGGGAAGCGAATAAAAAGCGGAAACGAAAAAGGCAGCCCTAGTTCGCGGTGGGATAGCGTCGCGACATGTTATGGACAGGCGTGTAGCTTACCATCAGACGCACGACTTGTTCGTCCCGTCACTTGATATTATAAAAAACCCTACACACGTCTGTCCGAAAGTATTCATATCGTACATACACATTATTTTCTCGTCCGCAACAGACACGACATGTTTTTGTGGCTAGAGTCGACAAAAGTTCTTGTCGTGTACAAGACCATTCTCAACTTTTCTGTAGCAGACACGTCAAATTTCTTGGCGTGGACACGCACCCTGACGGGATGGACAAATCGTGGGCCTAGTGGCATAATAAGGTGAAAAATAGTATACCCACGATTTTGATTTGGCTCCTTGGAAATCTTTTCCCAAATCATTTCGCTCTGTGTGTACGGATGCATAGAACTGAATGTATTATAACACGCGCGCCCGCACCCGCTTCGCGTTCGCCACGGGCCCGGCCCGCTCCCGCTTTAGTTGTTTGTCATGGCGTTCAGTCTCGCACCGCACCGCCTCGCCGCAGTTTCAGTGTGGGCGAGTTCTTATGAACTCGTTACATTACAGAAATTCCTGGGTTCTACGCGAATCTGTGCGTCCGTCCGTACACATCACGCGGCGCGGCGGGCGTGCACGCATGTCAGCTGCGCTGCTACGTTTATGTGGGAAGATGCACTACTTACTTGATTATTACTATATTGTGATATTATGCTCTGAAATATCCAAAGAAAAATAAATACAATAGTTAACTGCCGTTTATTTCTGTACTTTTTTAATAATTAAATGTACTGTGACGCCAGCGTGAAAAGATCGATTAATTAAAGTTATTGACAATTTATCCATTTCAATTGGCTTTTCTCCCGTACGTGACCTTTACTATGCCGTGAACGTACACGAAAATACCTACATAAAGTCTGGAAATACATATAATAATACGAAGATAGCTTGATTAAAAAAGCCGGGTGTTTCGGACACCGAGACACGCACACACACGCACAGCGCGTCGTAGCGCGTCGTAGCGCGTCACCGCCCCCCGCGCCCCGCGCACTGTGCCGACCACCTTTTCGCCGACACCCCCACTAGATGAGAGACTACAATTAGGATATAACTAGGAACATTTCGGGCAATAAACGTGAATTGTCGTTTCGCGCACAGCGCACGAGTCGGACAAGCCACGCAGCCGACCACAGTGCAGCCCGCTCCGCCCGCGAGGAGATTTTGCCACTACCCAACCTCCGGCTATCTTTCTTCTCCGGTCTTCCTCCGGCCTCCCACAAGCGGGTCTCACCGGAGGGGGGATAGTTGCCCGGAGCGCGGGTTACGACCACGCCGCGCGTGACACCCCCGCATACCGCCGCCGCCTGTACCACTGACGAGGCAGCCGACGCGTCCAAAGCGCCTATTCACCCGCACCGGGCTCGACATCCTGACGTGGTGCTGGCCGCAGCATCCGCGTCTACAGCCTTAACCCCCTCCCCCGAGCTAGGCAGCAGGTAGAACTACCCCCTCCATTAACCTCACGCGATCCGCGAGGCGAACGAGGGGAGGGCTCCCGAGAGACTCCTCCGCGTGACTATGCGAACCATAGAATGGAACGGGGGGAGAACAGGCGCGAGCGCCGCTATCATCGCTCGCCGTCTCCGCGAGAGGATAGGCGCGAGCATCGCTATCATCGCTCGCGAGATAGATACGAACGCCGACGTCAGCGCTCTCAGTCGCCGCGGGCATGAGAGGAACGAAAGGTAGAGGCATTGATAGGTTGGTAGACGTTAGAGAAAATGGCAATGTTTCGCCCACCGCCACGACAGGCGCAGGAATTACCAATATTCACCGGAGCCTATACGGATTGGCTCCCGTTTAAGCGCGTGATGATAGACTCAACCCGAATGTACAAATTCTCAGACACGGAGTATTTGGCGCGCTTACGAGTCAGCTTGAAGGGAGAAGCGAAAGAGGCAGTCGCTGCGCTCCTGTACACAGCTACAAATCCGTCCGCAATTATGGATACGTTAGAGCAATGTTTCGGTAAGCCGTAACTTATAGTAGAACGCACCGTTAATGTACCGATAGTGAGCTTAGGCGTTTGTTCATGCGCGAAATGTTCATGCGTATTAAGATACGCAAAGCCGATCAGCCCGCACAAATGTTCCTATGGAGTGGGGACGATAGAACGAATCCGCCCACCCGTTATAAAATGACTTCGATGATATTCGGTCCTCGAAGTTCCCCTTTCCTGGCCGCTAAGGAGCACGCGCAATTCTATCCCGTAGCGTTCGACGCGATCACGTCGAATTATTATATGGACGATTGGGTGGATATTTACGAAACCGAAGCTAAGACCGTGCTAGCAGTCGCCGAAAATAGTAACTGGGCTGGAACTCGAATAGCGAGCTCGTGTTAGAACACGTACCGGTAGAAGCTAGGGCGCGCGCGGCCAAGGAATTAGGCAGAAGCGACCCTCTCGGAGCGGGGAAAACGTTAGGGCTGTTATGGGAGGCCTCAAGTGACGAACTTCGCTTCAATACGGCCATGAATAGGGTGACGTGGACGATATGGACTCAGTAGCCGACTTACGGTTAGATTAAAAGTACGGATTTAACAAGAACACGACGACTACACAGTTACACGTGTTCAGCGACGCCAGTGAGTTAGCATACGCGACGGCCGCGTACTGGCGTATAACGTATACGAACAGAGGTCAAAGTCACCCTCGCCGCTGCGAAGGCCAGGGTGACTCCGATGCGCCAAGTATCCTACGTTTATAATTACAAGCGAACCTTGTAGGCGCGCGTCTGGCCGATTCCATTCTGCGAGAACACCGCATACCCATCGATAGAGTAGTCTTCTAGTCGGATTCGAAAACCGCACTTCATTGGATAAGGAACGATAAGCCGCGTTATACTCCTTACGTAGCGCACAGATTGAGCGATATCTCTGAGCTTACCCGTGTCGACCAGTGGAGACGGGTGCCGACCGCGGATAACGCAGCGGACGATGCAACGCGAATAAGTACCGACATGAAAACTAGCCGCGATAGATGGTTCATAGGTTCCGCGTTCTTGTACGAATCGGAAGGCCAATGGAACGCGAGGAGACTGTCGCGACTGAGGACGAGGTAGTCGTGTCGTACGCAAACGAGAAGGGCAGTTTCGACCACTTGCCCGACATAGGCCAGTTTTCTAGTTACGAAAGGCTCATTAGGACCACGGCGCGAGTATTGGCTTTCGTAGATATTTGCAGAAGACGCGCGAACCGCGTCGAGTATTTGAAATCGTAGCACGACGATTTCAAAGAGGAAATCGCGTGCCTTACGCGTGAAAAACCGTTGCCGCGTAGCAGCAAGCTGTTTAAAATAGATCCCGTGATAAGAAAGGATGGAGTCGTGCGCGTGAACGGTCGTATAATTCAAAACAATTCCGGCACTCGTCGCATGATTGCCACCGCAAGTCACGTGTGTGTGCGACGGCGAAGAACACGCCGCCCGCGCCTGTTGGATGAACCGCCGACGTGTGCCAACTGCGGATGCCCGGTTTTCCGAGCCGAAAACCGTAACACGAAAGCTGGCACTATAGTCCGTACCGTCGCCGCCGCTCGACTACGACCATCGGAACAGGTCTCTCCGACGATGACGATGACAGCACAACAAGATGCGCCCGAATCACTGATAGCTGCAGCGAACTCACCACGCACCACTAAGAGGCCCCGGACGCGGAAGCCCAAGAAGCCCATCACTCAGCCGCAAGTGAAAGCCGCCCCTCCCAGGGAAATGAAAGGAAAACCAGCGCCGGTAGCGAAACCCCCTCCTCCAGAAATTGGGGCGCGGGACGCCGCTATCACGAAGGCGATCTGGAACGCTGACGGACTCTCTGCCCAGAAAACCAGGTTACTACAGTACCTCCTCGCCGAGAAGAAGGTTGACGTGGCCTTAATCCAGGAGACCCACCTCAGAATACAGGACCACGTGTACCGGAAGGACGAAATGTCACCACTAGGAATGGCGTCAAAGTCAAAGATTATTTATTACATAGGTAAAATAAATTTACACTTGAAAACGTCACATTTAAGCTACTGCCTCCTAGTGAAATGATCGCACATCCACCAACCGCTGCCAACACCCACGGAACTCCAAACTTCGTACGCCATAGCGATCGAGGTCAACCTGAGCAACCGTCCCACCCCGTGTGTACACCTTTTATAGGCCACCTGAGGCAAAGTTGGCGGAGTCTGATATCCGTCATCTGATAGGATCAGACCTGCCAACTCTCGTAGCGGGGGACTTTAATTGCAAGCAGACGGCGTGGAACTCAAGCTGAGTCTGCCCGCAAGGTAAACGACTGTTCGACCTCAGTAGTAAACAGTTGAACGAGTGTTTTATTTTCGACCCTGATCCCGAGAAGAGCAAATATAGTCCACCGGTCCAGATCAAAAACCCCATCGATTCAAAACATCGACATAGTTGATCTTACGAGAGCCGGATCATCAACAATTTTTGGTCTTTCGAGCCGGATTCGAGCAAGTACTCGTACCAAGCCCGGAACAGTGAAGACCGGTCGAAACTTAGTATCCTTGCAGCCCACTGCCATTTGAACAGAACAATGGTCGTCACCAGGAGCCCAAGGTGACGCTGCAGACCAGGATTAGAACAACGAAGAAACTCGAGTGGAGCACGAACGTTTGCGGAGATTGGCACTGGACACGCCGGCGTCACCGGCCGTGGCACCAACCGAACGTAGAGGCCCATCCCTACGGGGGGAGGCCTACGATCGTCAGACGAGGGAGCTCTAAGAATCCACCGCTGGACCGTCGACTATGGACGGCTATGGACCCCGCAGCCCAGTCATCACGATCGAGGTCCCCTGCATACTCGCAACGATCGACAACGAGTGTGGCGGCGCGACTGACTTACAGAACTTAAAGCGGAGGAGAAGCTGTGGCTGCTTTGCTACACACGGCTACGGACTCGGCGATTGATATGAGAACGCTGGAGCAGTGTTTCGGGAAGCCGGAGGTGATCATCGACTGGGCACTCGATGAACTACGCAGAACGTCGAAACCGGGTGCGTCAGTCACGGGACTGAACATGTTCGCTGTGAAGCTTCAGATCGTCGTGTATGTGCTGAAAACCATAGATAAACGCGGATGTCTATACAACCCACTGCTAGCCCGAGAAGTGCTTGACAAGTAGAGCCCGTACGTCCAGTCCCGCTGGTGCGACTACGCCGCAGATCACGAGGGAACAGCAGACCCAGAGGTCGTCGTACTGTCACGCTTTCTTATGCGCGAGGCCGACAGAGCGCAGCGCTATATGTACTCACCCGTCGCGAGTACTGCCACAACGACGTAGGGAGACCCGCGATAGTGAAAAAGAAAGCGAACGATGTGTACACTGCCACGGACACCGATCAAACGGACCGCTGCCCCAACTGTAGCCAACCCCATGCGCTGCACCGGTGCCCAATCTATAAAGCACTAAGTGTTGATCAGCGCTGGAACGTGGTGCGAGAGAAAGGACTATGCTTCCGACGTGTCGAGAAACGACACTTTGTGATTTTGTAGCACGAAGCTATGCGGCGTGAACCAATGTTGCTGTCCGCACCACCTTACTCTGCACAAGGAACCGAGCCAACCCATTGCGCAGCCTGCAGTACCTCCCACAGCGCCGCCCGCAGCGACCCCATCGAACGAGCCGAAGCGCCACGAGACTGTGCTGTCACTGGGCAAGCTACCACCGAAAGAGAAGGATGTGCTGCTCCAAGTGGTTCCAGTACCTGTAACGGGACCACTGGGAAGTGTGGAGACATACATCATCAGTGCGTATCCACTGATGGATGAGGGCGCCACAATAACTCTCATCGACGAGGGATTGGCACAGCGCATCGGAGGAGAAGGACCCCCAACACCGTTGCACCTACACAGAGTGAACATGACACGACGAGAACATCAGAGTCGAACCGTCAGCCTGCAGTTGAAAGGAACAACGCAGGACAAGCCGATGAAGAACCGAACCCGTACGATGCGTGACGTGAGGTTGCACTAGCAGTCCATACCGAGCTCACTGCTGGAGGCAAAGCACCTACGGGACATACGAGAAGACGTGTGCTACGATCTGGCACGCCCGCTCCTCCTGATCGGCAGCGATAACTGGGATCTGATAGTAAATCGCGAACTACGAGTTGATGGACGCAACAACCAGCTGCATCTCATGAACTCAGCTAGGCTGGGTGGTGCGCAACCACGACACAACATGAACAATAGAATTTTGCATAATCACCTTTATTACGGGTATTCTCGGGTTTCACCAATAGTAACACTGGGGGTTGAGGGATCTATTCTATTATATTTATATTCAAAGTAACGCCTGAATCTATTAATTACTGAATGAATGAATAACGTATTTAGTTAAGTATTTATTTGCTCATTATTATTTGCTAACAATTGACACTCAAGTATTCATCTATTTCGTTGTATATAAAATTTCTTGGCGACTTGATAAGAAGGCGTTGTGTATTTATGCTACCTGCCTCTTCGTTTACTGTTTTTACTTTGCATTCTTCTTGACTTTATCAATTCATGGATACGTAAAGGCATTATACAACTGATATTGCAAGTTGAAGTACCTGTAAAGAAAAACGTATTCAAGATCAAACCTGGAGGGATCACGAAGGATTTTTAATTATGACTTTCAAAATCATAGAAGTAAACAACAAAATTCAAAAATTGAGTAGAGTGCCACCAGTGCTTGCATGTATGGAACTGTGGCGCGAGCACGTTCTTCCAAAGCCCATGGAGTCACTGGCCGTGAGAGGCCGCCTTAAAGGCAGTTTTGCATCGGCGAGGTGAGACGAGACAAGAATTGAAATTTCGCCGGCCTATTTTCACCAAAACTTGCCAATAAATGGTCGCGCGATCGCGCGCTGTGGTTGAGGATAGTAACAATTCAATGGTATTCGGTTGCTTTACCGAAAAACATGCAACTGCAGTAACGTGTCCCGTAAATTATTATTATTAAATGTGTTAACGGAAGAAGAGTCAAATGAAACTATCGTTTTTAAAATCTCAAATCGTACGTACCCCACGACAGAGAATGACAGTTAAAGCTAAGTTTGAAACTTAGCTTTAACTCTATGTAAGCTGCAATATGGTTCAATATTACATCAATCAATACAGAGAATTTATTAATTATCCCAAAATAAATGTTGACTAAATTAAGCATAATAGGTATATGATTTGCATTTCATTGTTTAATTATTATTATTATTTTGTTTATATTTCAATAATTTTTTGTTTATAATTTAATCATTATATATTCACCTGTATAATTAGTATTTTTACCTGAAATACAGGATTCTCCTAGTTCAGGTATATGTGTAGGTAATATTTTACAATTATTTGCAATAATTAGTCTTTAGTTATTCATTACAATACGTTATTCAATGAACAATTTTATTTATTATTAATCAATTAATATATTTATTCGTCATCATAGGTCATGATAGCTAGAATATGCAGACTGTCAGACTTATTTAATACACCTATAATACACCTCTTACAGACACATACGAAAATATTAATCAATCTAATTAATTTATAACATCAATAAAATAATATTTCAATTCTCGCCTCGTCCATCTTCGTCAATCCAGACCATTTCCACTGAAGTTGCGCTAGGAGAGTATTGAAATTTTGCTATACAAATTGCAATCCTCGTCTCGCCTCGTCTCGTCTGGCCTCGCCTATGAAAAACCACCTTTATACGTATAAAATTATGACGCGTCCAATGTGATCTCCGTTTTGGCATGATAACTTTTCATCGAGTAAAACTTACGAAGCCTCGACAGGCGTTGCTTCGTAATGAAAGACACAGGGGCGGTCCCAGCTTACGGCTCATAATTCTTGACTTCCACGAATTCTGTATGATGTTACCGAAATGGGAACGTTTTGCTTATCGTATTTGCGCAAAACTTCTCGACTGCTCTTGATTGAGATATAAAGAAGCCACATGTGACCACACATCAAAATAGTTTTTATCACATGACGACGTCACGACACGACGGGTCTAATACAAAAACCACGAAAAAAATGTCCCAAGTCAACCTATTCGAAATTTAAATTGTAATGTCATCGCAGTATCGCGCTGTCAGTAGAACAAATGAAGACTAAAGCGGAGTTTGGCGCTCTGTATACGATTTTAGCGCCTTACAAGTGAGGACACTTTTTAGCGCGGACCCGACGTCCATATAATTGTAAGTCAATGCATAAACGTTATAAAAATAATAAATAAATAAATAAATAACGCACACCAGGGAAACCCTGTGTCGCGGGTGCCATGGACATACACAAAGGTACACAACCACAAATTACACTCAAACTCACGACAGAAATAAATGTAGGCCATACACATATTTCTCCCGGCCCGGAAATCGAACTCGGGACCTCTGCGTGACAGTCCAGCATGGTAACCGTTCGGCCACTGAGGCAGTTAAGAGGTAATACGAAATGCATATCACAAATTATGTACAGTACAGCTTTTTAGCTCCTATTTAACCATAAATAAGTTATCGACTAAATTCCTGGTCTTATTACACAAAGGGTGCATTCTGGAAGTTCTTGGAAATTTATGTAATAATGATTATGATAAATCTAACCCGCAGCTTCTGTAGGTATGAAAAATAAATATTGGCACGCCGCAGTTATCCACCATTATTCTACTCACCTGGTTTAGTGACTGATTTTCTTCTGGATTTGCCATTAGGTTGTCCTAAAAAAAAGAAAAGACGTAATACAATATACAGCGCCGGCACAGGCATGTAGCGCCTAAGTGCAGTCACTTCTGAGGAATACCTACCCATTAGTTACGGTACCAACCGTGGGCGTGTACCTGCGTACGTTCCTTCCAATTAGCAGCAACACAGGCGGACTTCAGCGCATAGCCGGTGGACTACGTCATATACCGGCGACGCTTCCCGCTGTGGTAGGTATCCACTAGTCTGTCTTTTTTAAAAAACGGAGTAAAATGAAATTTGTAGGGTTGCCAGTTTTCATACAATTTTAAACAGTCATTTAATTATTATCGACATTTTTATCGATAGATTGTGAAAGAATGCCAGAAATGTCTGAATGAAATGAATGATTACTAATTGCATTTCTCCATTCTTATTTTGACAACCGGCCCACTAGTACAAAAATAAATTTTTATTTATACACATTTTAACAAGAACATGCGGATTTGATTAGCTACATTGAATTCGACTATTCATTGCATGCGTAACCAACATTCATTCGGTAGTCGATAGAATATTTATCGACTGTAATCACTAGCTGCTTGTAAACGGCCAACACGTTTGCCCAATGGACTGTCATTTTACTTCATCTTCAAAAATGACATACTTCAGCGTGCTCTTCAATATCATAAAGACAAATGCGTAAAGATACTCCGAGTAAATTTATACCTTATTGCAATTGAAATATTATGAAATATACATTGATAAATTTAATAATCTTTGCCTTGCCGTCCGCCGGTTTACGCCGGCCGTAACGAATTCAAATTTGTGATTCGTTCAAAACCTTTGCTATACATCACTTGCTAAAAAGTGAAACGCAAACACCGTAAGTCTCTACATTAAACCACAGCATCGGTCAGTGTTTAGGCCTTGGAGAAACACGAACCCGACAGTGGGTCATTGACGACGTTTATGTGTAGTCGTAATGTGACAGATCTGTGTCAGGTAAAATATCCTACTAAATCTGTTATATAATATTATACTCTGTAAAATTTACCTTGCTTGGAATGACAGGTTAGACAATGTAAATTTGTAGATATGTGATAAAAATTATATTTTTTTAAACATCACAAAACAACAATGCAACACGATTTTTGTTTTTTTGGGTCATCAATATAATCTTCAAATTGGTACTATCAAAAGACATGAAAAACGTGCAAAAACTTTGATTTTGCGGTCAGGACACAAATTTAATTAAATATGTCATATCGTCGACATATTTGAACATCGATTTTCGATTTCACTGATCGTGTCCCATCACTGGTTCTTCAAGTTTGACAATACAATATACCATTCTTCAAGCTAAATTTTACTAGTTTCCATAGCTAGTCTAACATATACAGTATAGTAATAATGGCTTGTTTACACGAGTTAAGTTGTCAGTAGAATAACATTTATGTACATTCCTTTTCATGTTTAATAATAAATACACGTTATCTTTGCATAGGTTAAACACACCAAGTCACCAAGTAGCATATGTGCAATTTGTGACACCCCTGTTCTTCCTTAGATATAGTAAATTTATTATAATGATACGGCTACGAAATAGTCAACATAGTTAAAAAGGCTAGCTACAACCGTAACATAATTATAATTAAACCAGTAGTGTAACTCCCGACTGTTCGGCGCTAGTGTTGGCACATTATTTTTTATCATAAACATAATTTGGAAGAACTAAGGTATTCATCACAACATTCTCGTGCTATATCGGAATCACCTTTTCTAAATTATATTTTATACCAACATCGCGAATTGGCTACTCGATTATGGGAGCACAATCATTAAGTAGAAATGAAATACAGGTTTGCGTATACGTAACGATACATTTATAAATGAAACATAGGATATAAATTGGTCAAAAAAAATGTTTTACGATCATTCTCGGACGTCCACTACTTAATTTCCGTGGCAATTTTTATTATTTATAATAGTATATATTCAAGTATATTATAATCATTAAATAATATTGCACGATAAAAAATCGAATACCTAAATAATAAAAATTGCCACGGAAATTAGGTAGTGAACACTAGTCATAGAATGACCGTTTAAATGTTTTCAACGCCGAGCCAACGTTTCAATTTTATAACGAACGGCATGTGACGGCGCGTGTACACGCTAAGAAATTTGACGTGTGTGCTACAGAAAAGATGAGAATGGTTTTGTACGGAACTTTGCCGAATCTAGCCACGAAAATATGCCGAATCTAGCCACGAAAATATGTTGTGTCTGTTGCAGACAAGAAAATGATGAGTATGTACAAGATACGCATGCTTTCGGGCAGACGTGTATAGGGTAAACGTGCCAGTGCATTAACGAGTCTATTAATTATTTTTCCTCCGATATAGGTGCATTACAAGATACATATAAATCCTAAACTACCTAAGTATCTACTTAATAATACTTTTAAGAAATGTATACTTAAAATTAATGTTTGTATTTACCATATTAATTTTTTTCTGTATTTGTTATTTCTTGAAACTCTTCCTTAAGAACAATAAATATTTCTCTCCATGCCTCAAAAGTACGTTGTTTATCTTTACAAATCTCTAAGGTTTTGTCCCATAATACAGGTCGTTCCTCTACTAAACTTATAAGTAAATCATGCATTTTATTAGTTGCAATAAAATTTGTGGTGCAACAATGCTACTTTGCAACACCAGCCCACGCGCAATAAACGTTCGTTTAATGACAATGCGCCCCATACAATAGCGGCAGAGCGCGTCAACTGGGGGTTAGACAAAATTTTTTCTTGTCCGGCGCCGAGGCAGTGTACTCAGGTCGTGTGTAGAAACGACACGAATTCTTGCAGAGACCCGGTGACTTTTCTTACCGAGGACACGCGCCCTTAGACCCTTGTGCAACCCGATTGCATCACGAAATTATACGAATGTGAATGTCAATTACGTTTGTACAGAGTTACACTACTTGTCTTATTGCGCTACAACGGACCGAAAAGGCAAAATATTGTAGTTTTTTTATAATACTAAGTGACGGAACGAACAAGTCGTGTGTCGAACAAGCGTCACGCCTGTCCCTAACAGTTGCAGTGTCACTCAGAGCTTTAAATCACAAAGATCTGAGGGCCACTGCCACTGCGCCTGACACCCTGAGACATAAGTTGACAAGTCCCATGTGCCTACAGGCACCATTTCACCAAATGTTATTGCGAGTTGTGTAGCATTGTTCAAGAAAATGGTCTGTGTTCCCCTGTGCGAGCAAAGAAAACTTAATAATGTATGTATTTTGCAATACAGTAAATTTACATCCTTTCAGAATGATATTAAATTCTTTACTTTAAACAGAATTCGACTCTGTATGAAGTGTAGAGTAGAAGAACTTATAGGTACTACTTCACTCGTGTAAGCCGGCCTTTATGCGAACTAACCACATATCATCACCAGCTTTTCTCTCAATGGTTTCATTAATAAATTCACAGTTTGTACTTTGCTGTCGCTAATAAAACCATATTGCGTCATGTCCACAGTTGCCGCGCGTTTGTAACATAGTTTTTGCAAAAACTCCGTAGTTTTCAAAGACATGCTGCTGTGCCCGGAGTGGTTCGAATTACTTTTGATAATTCGTTTGTTGACGCCTTTTTTGCATACGTTCATGATGTATACCTTTGTAGTTTTTTTTTAGGTAGAATGTTTTCATTTGTAATTTAGCTTAATTATTGTAGGATTTGCAAGTGGTAAGTATATTTTCACTCATACTTGCGTTTTCATATTTGCGAAGTTCATTTACTGTTTGTAGAGTTTTGCATTTAAGATATTGCCATTTTATGATACAATCCAATACATTTTCATTACTTTATTTATTATGTTTGTTATATCCACCCCATTTTGATTCTCCACTTCATTTTTCCGTTTTCTTTTGGTTTTATCCCTTTCATTGCTATTTTTTGGTTTTCCTTGATGGGTTAAGCCTTGGACTATGGAAACGAAAGGACATGTTACATTGACATACATAAATCAAACGTTATTATGTATGATGCATTTAGACGTTGAAAACATAAACAGAATTTTTATAATTATATTAAACTACCGTACATTGTTATTTTTACTTGACATTGGCAAAATCATTGATTATTTCGATGGGGCCATAACATTTAAAAGAAGAAGAAGAAACATAAACATTTTATTGTCTTTGTTTAACTACTGCGTGCCTTCGTAAGCCAAAAGAGATAGCACTACATTGATTTATGTCAAACACGGGAATCGAAAATACGTAACGTCCTCTTATATGCCAACTGTCCTCACTTTGCCATTTTTATAGTACCCTTTGATTACCGTTTCCGGTTGTACATCAAATGTCACCAAATGTTTTAGTGAATTATTCGCATGAATTGTAATGAAATGGACAAACATGTTGACAGTGAGAACAATTAAGTATTGATAAAAATGCGTCGCTGCAGCATTAAGCGGTGCGGCAGTAGAAAAAGCGGAAATCAACCAAATATTATATTACATCGGCATGTATCATGTGGGAGACACTGTACCGGTATAAATATAAGCGATTATGATTAGACTGTTGATAATTGTTATTCGCATTATTCGCGTTGTTCGCATTATTCACATATCAGATTTCTTGGATTCTTAAATTAATTGTTTCTTGTTTGTAAGTCAGATCGACATATATGAATATACAGTCCACTTCAGATTAAGGAAGTTTCATTTTACATTAAGGATATCGAAGGAAGAATAAAGAAGGTAACTTAAAGGTTGCTGAACTTTAAACAGTGAATGATGATCGGTTAATCTACATTTATAATTCAAATGCTTTAGGAACCTCTTTTGGATTCGTTCAATTTGATTAATATAAACACTATAGAGTGGCGACCATACAGGACTAGCATAGTCCAATATGCTACGGACATATGCCGAATACAATCATTTTAAAGTAATCGCACAATTAAACGATTGACAAGTTCGTAGAACAAAACCCAATTTCCTATATGCCCTGTTAGTGATACTGTTAAAATGATGAGACATAAGCATTTTGGATGTGGGTCCTCTCAATTGCGATGCCACTGAAATGGTACGGATATAAAATTGGATTTATTTTACGAGTAAAACTTATACATTGACATTTACTTGCGTTGACTGTGATTCTGTTACTACTATAATAATGGTACAAATTGTTTAAATCTTGTTGTAATAGATCTCAGTCAACTGTGGATCGGACTTGCATGTAAATCTTTTTGTCGTCGGCATAGAGTAAGTTCTTAGCGTTAATTATGTGATTATTATATTATTAATATCATAAATATAGGCGTTGTAAAACAGAGGTCCAAGGTGTGAGCCCTGAGAGACGCCGGACGGAATTTAAAGTAATCGGACCTAAATCCTCCCAAGACTACAGCCTGAGAACGATTGGTCAAATAAGATCGCACCCAACGAAGTAAGTCTCCGAGGATACCTAATGTCTCTAATTTGTGGAGGAGGATGTCGTGGTCCACACGATCAAAAGTTTTTTCGAAGTCAGTGTAGACCACGTCAACCTGACTCCATTTTCCGTTTCATTTAGTAAATAATTTGCAAACACAGCCAAGTTTGAGACCGCAGAACGTCCTCTAACGAACCCATGCTGAGTCAGCGGTAACCCTGCCGCAATAACTCTGTATATATTATTGTACACAATCCTTTCAAAAATTTTACTCATGGTATTAAGAATAGAAATCGGACGATAATTTTCTATACATGATTTGGAACTCTTCTTGTGTATGGGGATAATGTGAGCCCTTTTCCATATTCTAGGGTAGACACAACTGCTAAGTGACCCACGAAACAAAATAGTAATTGGTAGACAAAGGCTTTCAGCACAAGAGGCCAGGACATGTGGCGGAATACCATCACAACCCGCTCCTTTATATTTATCTAATGACTTCAAAATTTTTTCAACTTCTTTAACATACATGTGAATTTGGGTAACTACATCCGTGCCAAAAAAGGTATTGATCGCTGAAGAAGAGCTGTTATTCACATTTGTTGAATAATTAAAAACACTTTTAAAAAAGTTGTTGAATGTTGCGGAGATATCCTCACCTTTGGTGTATTCTACGTTGTTAAGTGTGCAACTATTGGGATAATTCGACAAGCCTCTCTTTGATTTGACATAAGCTCAGAAATATTTAGGGCATTTTTTATGAGTGTTTCGGCATTATTCGTGAAACGGTTGAAACATTGGTCTTGTACGCGCTGTTGTCTTGCTCTAAGTAACGAGAACTCATCATAATCTCGCGGAATACAAAATTTTTTCCATTTCCTGTGCATTCTTTAATTTTCACGAATAATTTTGATCAAAGCTGGACTGTACCAAACAGGGTAATGTGATTTATTAGCTGTATAGATAGGTGCGAACAAGCTAAAACATTCGTGCAACTTACTATAAAATATTTCAACAGCATCGTCAATATTGTCAGTTGATAATATATTGTTCCAGTCAGTCCTCCCTAAGAATTCATTCATTTTAGAATAATTGCCTTTTTTAAAATTTAAACGCGGGGAGTTTCGTTCTTTTAAGTATGTTGCTTGTATGTCCGCTATGGATACATAAAGTGAGGGATGGTACAAATCTTCTTTAAGAACAGATTGCAAACAATGGCTAGTCGTTAGGGGTAGATTACTAATGCATAAGTCCAATGTGTTACCGTCTTTATTTAAGACAAAGTTTTGTTGTGACAGCCCTAAAAAGCCGAGTCCCTCAACAAATGACTTGCCAGCCTCCGTCAGTGTTCTACTATGAGACTTTGAGACGTTATAATCGCCATTGCTACTATTCCAACGGATAAATGGTAAGTTAAAATCCCCAAGTAATAGAAAATTATCCGATGAATAGCTACTTACTATTTGTTCGACACTGTTCAACATAAAATCTAACCACGCGGGCAAAACCTCTTTATCTGTATAAATATAAACTAGAATCAAATGCAAACCGACTGCAGAGCGCAGAGCGCGCGCGGGTATTGTAATTAAAATGTAGTAGACGCAGGCCACACGCTCGTTAGCTCTGCATTTAGTTCCCACCGAATGCAAATCATTACACCTCCGCCGGCTTTTTTTCCGGCTGCTATACGATTTCGATCGCAGCGACAAATATTATACCTACTATCGCATAGTTCTGTATTTAATATATCGCTCTGAAGCCATGTTTCGGTAAATAACAGAATATCAAAGTCATTAGATAAAATTTTAATACCGATATGTAATTTTCGACCTAAGGTCCCTAGCAACACAGGGTGCTAATTGAAACAGTCTTGGCTGTATGGCGCATTAGTGCCTTTGCCTTTTCCAATGAAAAAAACAGTACCAAAAAAAAACAAAAATACCTACTCTTTGACAAAAATCCAGTGTTGCCAATTCGTGGGGAATTCCACAAATTGCGGGGAATTTCAAAGAATTTGAACTATATTGGAGATTTAGAAACACTGTAGAGAACTATATCGACGTGTTTTTCAACATCGCACATCTCCCGCCTTATCAAAAAACTGCTTAAATAGAGTTATTATCTGAGCACTTGATTCTGAATTCTAAAATTACTAATCGGTGCGTATTGAATTCACGATCGTTTCTCCCGCTTAGGCCGGTCACCGGTATGAAGAGAAACGAAATCATTAATTGTTAAACAAAGCCGAGCAGTTGGTACTTCCACACCACAACTTACCACTCGTCGACTTGAAATATTAAATATAGGTAGAAACTTAATATACTCATTAATCATTTCTAACGTTAACTTAGTGTCACCAAATGCGCAACAAATAATTAAGGTACTTAATTTTGTAAGGCAAAGAAAAATGTTTGTTTTTCAAAGACTGATTGATGTTGAATCTCATTAAAATAAATAAATGATTAAAGGTCATGACATTTTACAATTTGTTTTCCATTTTACATTCTGTTTACACTTACAGCGAACGTAATAGGTTACCATACCAGACTGCTACGCATAGGTTCGGTTCCTAGGTTCGATTCCCGGGCCGAGAGGAAATTTTTGCATGGCCTACATTTATTTCTCCCGCGAGTTTGGATGTAATTTGTGGTTGTTTATGTGTAGGTCCATGGCACCCGCGAGACAGGGTTTCCCTAGTGCGGGGCTTTATTGAGTGTGTGCGTTATTATTATAGTTACATTTTGAGTTTCTTAATTGTTTATTATATTTTTAAGCGATGTATTTGTAATAAATAATGAAAACTCGAGATGTAGCGAATCCATCGTTCCAGCGATATGTGGGGAATATGAACTTTGCCCGAAATTTGGGGATTTTAACCGTGATTTTTGGGGATTTTAAACAATTTGTATTGGCAATGCTGCAAAAATCAATCAGTCATTTGAAGTTATTCATGTTTTCCGAATGTTTCGAATAGAAAATAACCTTCGATATCGTATTTTTCGTTTATTTTTTCAAGTTGGCGGTATAATACCGTGCATTTTTAGCATTATATTCATTTACATTGTATTTCATATCTTATTTCAACCGTTAGTTGACTCGCTAAATAGAAAAGTATCCGACGACGCCGACGAGTAGACAAGATACTTCAACTTATTTTTTGTTTAGTGTTTT